GCATAATATTTCTTCAGGTTTTTAACCATATAACACTGATTTCTTTCAGTGGCTACCATGGAAATCAACGGGCACATTAGAAGACTAGATAAAATCATATATTCCAATGGATAATTTCCTCATACGGGGGTGGCAAAAAATGCATACACACTTTAAGAGATGTTATTTATGTATTACTTTTTGAAGTTGAATTGAAATATCGCAGCAATGTGTAGCATGACGCTCTCTCAAAAAATGGCATTAAACAAATGAATGTTATGGTCACCATGCAACAGGCAGGACAGCCAAAGAAATGAGTAGAAGCATGGTTGTCATTCAAGGAATGCAAGACCATTTTGAAGTGGTATCTGAAATTCGAGAACCTTGTGAAAGTCCAACCACAATGGAGGTGTGAGGATGCAACAGAATCTCCAACAAGCCTAACAACTGCACACATTTGTGATAAGTTTGAGATGCATGGTACTGTGTGTGATATGCACAAGGGAAGATCTGGAAGGCCTAACACAGCAACAAGTCCTGTAGTAGTTCGTGGTAATCAGAATTATCTGGATGCTGATGGTAACCACTTTGAGTACCTCTTATAATTGTAGAAGTCAAACGTGACTTGTATTCATCTTTTGTTATCGGTATATTATTATTATAATTTTAATACAGTTTTTTCCTTTCTTAAAATGTGTATATATGTTTTGGCACCTTCTGTATTTAAACTAATCCTTTATGTGCCTTAACATATTTTCTGTATCTCATATTATTTTGTTAACATATTTTCTGTATCTCACATTATTTAGCTAACCAAGAGTTTTAGAACAAAGATTTTAGAGCAACTAACTTTGCAACCTTCAATATTTCTTAACATTTAGAGATAACATAAATCATTTTCTCCCTGAAAGCATCTATCTTTATGTGAACATTCATATACTATGAAATTGTTTACACCAAAGATGATTTACCTTGGTCCTTCTCTTTGGTATGGCTTTATTCTTACAAATCTAAGATAACATATACCTTCTCCTCACTCCTGAGATAACCAAATAATCATATCAAGACTCAGAATGTATACTTCACGTGGCTGAAAAGTTTTCAATCCAATAAAATGCACTTAGTCCACTATAGTAAGAAAATCCAAAGATGAATAGGACGTGAGCATTATTCTTAAGTGGTCTCCTAATAACTTCTGGGAGTAAAAAAGCCATTTCCAACTGACTCAAAGAAAAGACAAAAAGCAAGTTAATTGCTTTAATTGAAAAGTAAAGTGTTACAGGAATACAAATAGTAAAATAACTCAGATTAAGAGAAATGGAAAGAGGCATGACAGAAGATGCAGTAGTATCTGAGTTGGGCTTTGATGACAAAGAAGTATCTCAATTGTCATGAGCTGAGAGATAAGAGACATTCTTAAATGAAGGATGATTAGAAATGATGGTATATTAGGGTAGCTATCAAGGTACATGTGTAATCATGGAATACTGAGCAGTGCTCTGTAGTAGAGGTAGAGAATACATGTGAAAAGAAATGGGCATGAAAAATTAAGTCAAGGATAGGAAACTAAGAGACTTTAAATCTATGTGCTAAGGAGGTTCCACTTTGTTATATAGACAACTAAGAATCCTCAAAGGTTTCTGACAGTCAAATAAAGCAATTAGAAAAAATTTAATCTAAGCCAGGTACAGTGGCTCATGCTTATAATTCCAGCACTTTGGGAGGCTGAGGTGGGAGGACTGCTTGAGTCCAGGAGTTCATGACAAGCGTAGGCAACATAGTGAAACCTCGTTTCTACAAAGAAAATTTAAAAAAATTAGTCGGGTGTGGTAGCACATGCCTGTAGTCCCAGCTACTTGGAAGGCTGAGGAGGAAGGATCACCTGAGCCTAAGAGACTGAGGCTGTGGTAAGCCGTAATCATATCACTGCACTCCAGCCTAGATGACAGAGTAAGACCTGACTCCAAAAAAAAAGGGGAAAAGAGAAAAAAAAAAATTAATGTAAACCATAAATAAATAAATAATAACGTCCTTCGTTCTTTCCTATCATTAAGAGGCACTAAGACAAATAGACTATTGTAATGATGGCAGCAAGAAAGAAAGATGCAAGAAATATGGCTGAGTCGGGACTGATCTAACATGAAGTTTGATAAGGAAATATCAAAAGTTAGTCAAGTTAGACACCGGAATTACAAATACTATCAACCAAGATAGAAAACACAGGAGAGGTTTTTTCACCTTTAGGTGGACTGAGGCAGGGAAAGGTGAATTTGGCATTATATATGAGATTTAGGTACTAGGAAATATAAACAGGAGACAGTTATTAAAATGAATATGCACTGTTTAAGAGATACCTCATGACCAGAAAAGTTCACCTAGGTATCCCCCTGCAAAGATATAAAGGATAGGTGAAGCACGGAAACAGCTATGATAAAGCAAAGCATGCACATCACCCCAGAGCAAAATGGAGCTAAAAGCTGACCCACGAGAAATAACTTGAATTTAAAAAGTAGATGGAAAAAGGGGAATAGTAAAGAAAACACATAAGAAATAATAAGGAAACTAGAAAATTATAATGTTTCAAAAGCCAAAAGAGAAGAGAGTTTGAAGAACACTGAATGGATAACAAATGCTAAAATGCTGCAGTAATTTTAGTGGATACATGAAACTAAAAAGAAAATATTCAATTTAGAAATTAGAAAGTCATTATTGTATAGTAATGTTTATTTTTAATAATTCACAGTAAATATTCTTAACAAGGCAAAGATGTTTTTAACTGTCAGAAACTATTAAAAATGAAAAAAAGTCACACCTGCAATCCCAGCACTTTGGGAGACGGAAATGAGAGGATTGCTTGAACCCAGGGGTTTTGAGTTCAGTCTAGGTGACACAGAGAGACCTCATTTCTACAAAAAATTAAAAAGATAACCAGGCCTGGTGGTGTGTGCCTGTAGTCCCAGCTACTTAGGAGGCTGAGGCGGAAGGATCACTTGAACCCAGGAGGTCGAGGCTGCAATGAGCCATGATCATGCCACTATACTCTAGCCTGGAGGACAGAATGAAACCCTGAATAAAAAAAAAAAAAAAAATCCAAAAAACTTCCCAATTAATAAAAAGCTAAATAGAAAAGATCATTTTTGAATAAAAATAGAGCCATTTGGGATAACATTTTTAACATCTTGAAAAGTATATGACTAATTAAATAAGTTTGTAATCTTTAATAAAATAGTGCTTTCAAAAACAGACAATAAGCAGCATGCACTTCCACTTGCAAAGTAATTTTTTAAGCAACTGACAAAGACTAGCTCTTTGACCAAACTTGTCAGGCTCCTCTGAGTTCTCTTTTCGACTAAGCCTCAGTCTTGGCCTCCTTCTTGTTTTAGACCTGCCCAGTTCAGTCTTGGCAAAGAATCTTGCTGAAGTCATGTCCCTACCTTTGTCTGCTTTTAGCAAAAATTTCCTAATTTTTCTATCCACTGACCACTTCACCCTGATCTCTGGCTATAAATCCCCATTTGTCCTTGTTGTATTGAGACTTGAGTCTGAACTCTCTCACCTACTATATTATCTTTATTGCAATAGTCTTGAATAATGTCTTCCTCATTATTTTAACGAGTATTAGAATAATTTTTGCTTTAACACAACAAGGCGTTCAAGGAAAGCAGTCACTCTTAGCCAATATTAATAGAAAAATAATTCATTATACAATTACAAATGAAAAGTAAGAGCTGTTTCAACAGAATAGTCATATGACCAACAACATAAATATTGAGGTAAGTTACACAGAACTTACAGAGAATATAAAAAGGTTGCTTCAATTTTTTAGCAAAAGAATTTTTTAAAAAAGGCTTTCTTATCTAAATAAAGATAAGGACACTGAAAGGTAGTAGAATTAAGCTCATAGCCTATTCATGCCAGAATTTATCAGTCAGAATTTCTAGTAAGAATAGAATGAAAATGGGAGAAAGTAGCTAGTGTGTAATTAGTAGTCAAGTTATAAGTCATATAAAGCAATAGATATAAATAGAAATTGATACTCAAATTCCTCTATTCAGTCAGCAAATACTCATTTAGGTTTGGCACAGGGGAATAATGACAGAATAATAATATAGACTCTCTGCCTGAAAGGGTCCTATGATTTAGGAGAGATGACACGTACAAATAAGCAGAATGCTATAAATTGTAATACAAGCATAAAAGGGATACGTTCACTGAAGAAGGGAAAAAATGAAGTGTTATGAGAGTTCAGAGGAAGGAGAGATGACTTCTCATAGGAAGGCAAGAAAAAGTGTCATGAATAAAAAGGGTATGAGATTTAAGTCTTCAGGGATGACTATTAGGATTTAATAGGGAGATGCAAATGGAAAGGCATTTCAGTGATAGGAAACAGCATAAAAAAGTGAAATAAACACTTTTGTCCTATGCAGTGGATGGAATACTGCCTCCCAAACTTTCATGATTACCTGAAACCTCAGAATGTGACCTTATTTGGAGAGGGTTTTTGCAGGTGTAATAAGTTAAAGATCTTGAAGTAAAACCACCCTGGATTTAGGCTAGGTTCTGAATCCAATGACTGGTGTCCTTAGAAGAGGAAAGGACAAAGAAACAAACAGAGAAGGCCATGTGAAGATGAAGGCAGAGAATGAGAATTATGCTGCCCCAAGCCAAGGAATGCTTGGAGTCACCAAAAATTGGAAGAGGCCAGGAAGAATTCTTCCCTAGGGACTTCAGAAGGAACATGGTCCTATATACACATTGATTTCAGCTGCCAAAACTGAAAGTAAATGTCTCTTGTTTTAGTTCATGAATTAGGGTAATTTGTTACAGCAATCCTAAGAAATTAACGCAGCTTGCTTAAGGACAATTCAGAGAGAGCTATGTTTTCCATGCTTCAGCATTTCATTTTACTGTACTTTAAAGAAGGAAAAAACACGGACAAAAAACATCTTCTTTATATGCATATTCCCACATTACCAGGTAATTATAAGGTAAACAGAAAACAATAAAATGTCATTACTTACAATGTGTGACTCCAGCCAGAGTTTGGTAGAAAGTGGGAGTATCACTATCATCAGTGAGGGTAACATACACACCTCCAGATAGTAGCCAACGAGAGAAAGTAAAAGCATCTTTGTTTAGAAGAAGCCAATTTCTAAACTTTTCATAGTTTACCTTTTCACCCTAAAAGTAAAACAAGAAAACATAAGTTTAGTCAAATTTTAAGGTATATTATCTGCAACCTGCACAACCTGAAATTTTTAATTCTTTGACATTTACCCTCCTACTATCCACAAAGGAAGCATTGTCTAAATAACACTACAAGGTCTGTATACTTGGAAATCAAACTGCTTTCCAAAATAATTGTATTTCAGAACTTCCATTTGAAAAAATCTATATGCTAACTGCAAATTATTTCATCAATTCATTAAAGCAGTTCATTGCCAATAATAATGCACATTAGCTAAAGTATATCCTGAAATCAGTAAGCTGCATTACTTTCAACATTTATATATCCAATTTTTCACTTGCCTTATACTGTACCTATTCTTTAGCACTCTGTAATCTGTCTAAATTAGTATATTTTAATTGGATCTTTATGGAATTAAAATACTCTTTTAGATTTCATTTGTAAATTTAAAACAACTACCCAGGAGTTATCCTAGAGTGGACAATCAGTATCGCAGAAGGTATTATTGAAAACATGTATTCACAAGTCAACTAGAGTTCAAAAAGAAGCAAGTTGATTTCCATTTATTTGCTTTCTTTCTGAGTATTTGTCTTGATAAATCTTTGGAGAAAAAAACATTTAGGCTGAAAAAGAGCACTATATGGCTGTCCAAGCTAATCCCTTTTCTTGGAAGACAAAAGATCCCGGATTTAGTGAAGGCCAGATATTTCTAAGAGAAAAAGGGAGAACAACTAGCATGGAAATACCATAGAGTTACAATCTGAGTCAGGGGGGTAAAAAAAAGGAAATATAATGAAGAATGACATCTGAGAATGAAGCTACTCTAATCCTAATAGAGATGTTAAAGAATACAAATAAATAATAAGCTAAAAGAGATAAAGTAGAAACAATTTCTATATTATTTAGTAGCATCCTATTAAGTTCAGCAATATGCTTAGCCTAGTGGTTTTGTCAGTGGAAATGCTGGTTTGGGGTTCGGTGATTATTTGTGAACAAAGAATTGGATATGACATCAGAGAAGCAAGGCAGAGTTTTACTGCAAGTAAAGCAGAACAGAGTAAGCTAGTACACTTCTAAGAATCAAGAGGAGTGGGCTGTTCAGAGAGTGAGACAGCTAGCCTCATTTATTTCTTTGGTTTGGTTTTTATAGTTTACTTTTCTTAGTCTCTGGTCTTAGGTGGTTAGTTCCCTCTTGGGCTTGTTTCCCTTCTTTATGGTTAGGTTATAAATCTCTCATGTGACCTTTGACATGAACAAATGTTTAGACATTCTTAATTCTACCTTTTTAAAACTAAAAGTGTCTTTAAACAATTTTGGGGCTATGCATCTTCTATCTTTTCATGATTTATTACTCATGCATGCAATGAGCTCTAGTTTACAAGACTAAGCTCATGATTAACATAAAACCTAAGTTTGAAACTAAATATCATAAAGGAAGAGTTTACATTTTTAGGATTTTACACAGTTTCAAAAGAGTCCATCAAGATTGCTCCTTATCCAGGTTTATAGAAGTCTCTTTAAAGACGTGTAGGTTCTCCATGCCTCTTAGTTATTAGGTGGTTTAATATGGCTGGTTGTCCCCTCTCAAATATTAGCCATGATTTACTAGACAAAGTCAGTCTCCCTAACAGGTTACATTGAGGAAGGGGGGGAAACCCACATTCCTAAGGCAGAAAAAGAAAAAAAAATGTACTCTTTAAATCCAAGAGGCTTTTGCATTCAGCTCAGCTTATCATGAAAGAAAATTTCTAAAATGAGTAAATAACTAAATGTTAGCTGGCTTCTCGTTTCTTACCCTTTTCCCTCTTCATCCCCTGCTCATGTCTGCCTAACTACCTAACAGTTTCAGAACATTTAACATCAGTGAAATCCAAACACTCAAGACAATGACAGTCTTGTTTGTCTGAATGAAAGAATATGGCATGAAAACTGATCATACGAATTGGGTCATTCATGTCATACCCAATAAATCAGAGTCAAGGGGCCAAAAGAAAAAAAACACTCAGGGTATATAATACAGAAATATAATTCCCTTTAAGTTCAGCTGCTGAAACTGCCTGTTGTAACCTGGGACCACTTTTATCTATAGCTTTTAAGATAAGTTGCTGCAACCATAGGACTAATTTTGCCCACCACCATTGCCCATCAATCAGGTTGTCAGCTTCTCAAAGAACTCTCTCAGGACCACATGTAACACTTTTCTTTTTATAAAACCCCCAACTTTTTCTTTACCCTTTGGACATACTAAAGACCATACAGTCTGCATGTATGCCCCAAACTGCCATTTTTTTCCCCCAAATAAAACGTTAAATTTAGAGATTCATCTCTACATTTTATTTTGACTTCAACACATTTAGACTTGCTGCAGGGTCACATGAGGACAATGTAAACATGTTTAGAGAATAGGGATCCTACCCACATTCTTTCTCTACCCCACATTTAGTCTAGAAAGAGGCTTAACAGTATAAAGTCTACAAGCTGACACACAATTTTATACCTATTAATATCTTTGATATTGGGCTAAGTCTTAAAATCAAAAGCATCCTTCAGTCATAATTAGCAGCTTTTTTCTTAGTGGTTGTGATACTGTGAAATATATACTGGGCCTTCATCCTATTTTCTGGCATACACCCCCCTCCCCAAATCCTCCACTATCCAAAGAAGTAAGTGTCTCTTTGCATGACAATGAGGGACTGAAGGTTGGGGGTTCCAGGATAGCTTCAGGATGATGGCTCATCACTGGAAAAAAAATAAGAAATGAATAGAGGATCTTTCAGCTCCACCCCCAACCTCCACAGGGAAGAGGGCTGAAAGTTGAGCTAATCACCGATGTCAATGATTTGATCAATCATAACTATTAGTGAAGCTGCCATAAAACACAAAAGAACCACGCTCAGGGAATTTCTAGATAGCTGAATGCGTGGAGGTTCCTGGAGGGGCGGCATGCCTGGAACTCCATGCCCCTTCCCCTATACCTTGCTCTATGCATCTCTTGCATCTTTATCCTTTCTAAAGTCCTTTACAATAAACCAGTAAACTTAAGTGTCTCCCCAAGTTCTAAAAGCTGTCTATCAAATTAACTGAACCTGAAGAGGAAGTCTTGAGAACTCCAATTTATAACCAATTGGCCAGAAGTATATGTGTCACTCTATTACTTGAGAATGATGTCTGGGGGCAGTCTTGTGGAACGAATCCCTCCACCTGTGGGATCCGATGCTATCTCCAGGTAGAGAGTATTATAATTGAATTAGAGGACACTTAGTGGTATCCACTGAAAAATCCATTAGAAATATAGATTGGATTAATATCCCCTCCAAATCTCATGCTGAAATATAATCTCTAATGTTGGGCGTGGACCTAATGAGAAGCGATTGGATCATGGAGATTGATGGATCCCGAATGAATGGCTTAATGGGGTTCTCATGATAATTAGTGAGTTCTCATTCTGTCAGTTCATACAAGAGCTGGTTGTTTAAAAGAGTCTGGCACCTCTCCCTATTGGTTCCAGTCTGACTATGTAACATGCCTGCTCTCTCTGCCTTCTGCCATGACTGTAAACTTCCTGAGGCCTCACCAGAATCCTGGCAGATCCTGGCAAAACTGTGAGCCAATTGTGTATTTACAATCTTTATACATACAATCCTTACAAATTACTCAGTCTCAAGTATTTCTTTATAGCAATATGCAACCAAACTATATGCAAACAAACTAATAGAATCTATATGCAAACAAACTAATAGAATCGGAAAATTGGTTACTAGTGGAAAGAAATCTACACACACATTTTGGTGACCAGAGGTCACTGAAAATGATCTCTTTTGTGAGAGTAGGAAAAAAGTTTGTTTTTTCCTCTCAGAGTGTTACATAAAGGTGCATCTTATAATCAATGGCATCTTAGAGTCAGTGAAATATGGTGGTTTCAATGGTTTCAGTATATCTTAAGATGCCATCAACTATAAGATGTATCTCTATGTACCACTAAGAAAGAAAAAAGCTGCCAATTAATAACGAATCTTTCTACCACCTTCACATATAGAATAAATAACTACTGAGTGTTTACAGTGTCCTAAGATCTGTTCTAAATATTTTAAATGTTAATTTAATCTTCAAAGCACTCTGCATAGAAGACATAATTATTATACCCATTTTACACATGAGAAAACCAAGACACCAAAGGTTAAGTAATTTGCCCAAAGTTATACAGTGGCAGAGAGAGGACTGTACCCAGGCAGTCCATACTCCAAAGTTCCTGTGCCCAAGCTATATGCTGCACAGTCTGGCTGATTTAGTGAAATATAAAGGCTGGGTGAGGTGGTTCAAGCCTGTAGTCCCAGCACTTTGGGAGGCTGAGGTGAGAGGATTGCCTGAGCCCGCAGGCTCGAGACCAGCCTAGGCAACATGGTGAAACCTTGTCTCTACAATAAACCAAAAAATTAGCTGGGCGTGGTAGCATGCGCCTGTAGTTCCAGCTACTTCGAGGGCGGAAGGATCGTCTGAGCCCAGCAGGTCGGCACTGGGGTGGCTGTGAGTGTGTCACTGCACTCCAGCCTGGGCAATGGAGTGAGACTTCAACTCAAATAAAAAGAAATATAAAGTACTCTCTGAAATCTACCTGCCCATTGGGAATCATTCCGCATAACTGGTAGTACCAAAATTTTTTGTGCTTTTGAATTACGAATCTCTTCTAAAAAGGGAAGCAAAGAGAAAGTCTAGAAAAAAATACCTATTTCCAATACCAGAAAAGACCATTAAAAATAAAGACTTCTAAAACTGCTACACCTTTGAAAAATAGCAGAAAATATCAATTTCCACTTTGAAAATCAACAATCCCTCAAAAAGTCTATAAGAGAAAACACAAGTCCTAGGTGGATTCTTTTATAATCTCATCTGTCAAAGCTAATAACACAGCACAAGACAGAAAAAACTAAGATTCATATCACTTAGGTGCCAGGTGCATATCTTTTAGCTAAAGTGCTTCTCTTTATATTTTTCCTATTTTTTTTTTTTTTTTGAATTGGAGTCTCACCCTGTTGCCCAGGCTGGAGGGCAGTGGATTGCTCACAGCTTATGCAGCCTTAACCTGCTGGGCTTAGACAATCCTTCTGCCTCAGTCTTCCAAGTAGCTAGAACTACACATCCGGCTAATTTTTTTGATTTACTGCAGAGACAAGGTCTCACCAAGTTGCCCAGACTGGTCTCGGACCCCTGGGCTCAGGCAATCTTCTCACCTCTGCCTCCCAAAGTGCTGGGATCACAGGCATGAGCCACCGCCCCTTGCTAACTATATATCCATGATGAAAAGCAATGACACTACAATGTGAGCATTGTTTCAGGTTCCTGCAGGATTATGTGGGTGTGTTAGTGTGTGTTGATGTGAGACTGTAGAATCATGTTTCATTATACTCTAAGTATAAACAGTTGCCTTTATAGTAGTATTGGGAATTTTTAAAATCACAACTATTGCAGTAATGAGAGCCAGGGATAGGACATAACTAGTTGAAACATTAATCATTAAATACAAAAATACCAAGAATATTCTGCACTTAAACATCTATTCATCATAGCTAAACTCACTACATAACTAAGAGTTAATACTTTGTTAACAAGAAGGGACAAAATGTAAATCTTTAAATATACCTCTGAGAAACACTTCCTGAGTGTATCTGGGACTTTGCCATCCACCACATGGAGCATTCTTTCCATTTCTTCCCGTACAACATAGCTCCCAGATTCGCTTGAAAAAAGGCTAAAAATGTCTAAGAGAAAGAAAGAATAAATTAATCTTAACACAGATCAAATATACCCTGGTGGAAGTAGGGAGGAAAGAGAAAGGCACCTATAATTGAGTGATGACTAAGGCTAAGCACTTTATAAATATAACTTAATTTATTCCTTAAAATAAGACAGCAAGACAAATTAAAATAGTGATGTGATATATTTTTAAACACATCAAATTTGCAAAAACTTTTAGGTGTAACAATACCAAGTGTTAACAGAGATTAGGAGAAACAGGACCTTATAAATACTATTAATAGGAGTAAAAATTACTGCAACTACTTTGGAGAGTAATTTGGCAAAATCTAGTAAAAGTGAAGTTGTATGCCAAAAATTTCACTTTCTCCCTCGAAAATCTTTGATATTTATATATAAAATGCAAGATGGTTACTGGAGTATTGTCTACAAGAGCAAAAATTAGAGAAAAAGATAAATGTCTATCAACAAGAGAACAGGAAAACAGATACACACAAATTGAAATACTACATAGAAGTTAAAGAAACTAAGTGCTTCAAGATGGATATTTTAAAATATAACATTCAAGGGGGAAGTAAACTACAAAATAATCTGTATTGTACAGTAGTCTCCTCTACCCATGGTTTTGCTTTCTATGGTTTCAGTTACCTGTGGTTCACCAACATCCAAAAATATTAAGTGGAAATTTTCAGAAATAAATAATTTATAAGTTTTAAATTACACACTTTTCTGAGTATCATGGTGAAATCTCTTGCCTCTCTTTCCATCCAGTTGGAATGTGAATCATCCTTTTATCCAACATAACCACTCTGTATATACTACTCACCTGTTAGTCACTTAGTAGCTGTCTTGGTTATTAGATTGACGGATTCCAAGAAGGGTGAATACAGCAAAAGATTTTGAGAGACATATGGGGGATCCTGAAGGGAACTTCACCTTAGTGTAATATTTTATTTAAAAAAAATCAAGGCCAGGGACAAACATAACACAATGTTGAGAAATAATAAAACTGGATAGAAGTACATGTATGTATGTTTGAAATATTGTTATGACTTGAATAATATCTCCCAAAAAAGATATGTTGAACTTCTAATCTTCAAGTACCTGTGAATGTGAGCTTATTAGGAAACAGGGTATTTGCAGATATAATCAAGTTAAGATGAGGTCATCAGGGTGGGGCAATATAAGGACTGGTGTCTTTATAAGAAGTAAAGAAGAAAGACACAAATGGAAGAAAGCCATCTGATGAGAAAGGTAGAAAATAGAATGATATAGCAATCCAAGGAACCCCAAGGATTGTTGGCCACCACCAGAAGCAAGAAAGAAGAAAGAATTCTCTCTAACAGGTTTCAGAGAGAGCATGGCCCTGCTGATACTCTGACTTTGGACTTCTAGCCTTCAGAATGATGAGCTAATAAATAAATACCTGTTGTTTTAAGTTTTATGGTACATTGTTATGGCAGCTCTAGGACTCTACTACAATTGTATAATTAAAATGAAGAAACTTTAAAAACATGTCTGTGACCCCCAAAATTCTTACCAGTCATACCTCAAGATCTACAGGACATTGGTTCCAGGACTCCCGAGGATAACCAAATCTGTGCATGATCAAGTCTCTTATAAAATGGCATGGTATTTGTATATGAGAACTAAAAGTAAAATTCTAAGCCCCCCCAACCAACTGAATGGATTCCCTCTTGGTCAATGAGACCCCAGAGAAACCTTAAAAACTGAGTTTCCAGACATGAAGGAACAGGAGGGCAAACCTGCCTCATGATACCTATCCTATCCTATTTGCAGTTTAGATGCAAAAACTGACCAGCAATAATGTTAAAATAGATATCATAAAACTGATAGAATAGACTCTGTGGCAATAGGACACCAAATGGTAAACAAGACTTAATGTAATACCAGGCAAGCGTTAAATCATGCACCCTTACACTTAAAGAATAAACTATGTTCTGTCACAGGGGTATTTTTCTTCCTTTAGCAGCTAAGTAAGCACTAACCTTGAGAAAAGCAATATTCAAACAATTACAGTAGGAACTCATTCACCACCAAATGCTGACTGACTCCCCTCTTCCATAAGCCATAACTACAGTTTTGATTGAACAAAAGACTGATTTTGGTAACTTTCTCCTGATAAGATCACTGACCATGGACTAGTTCTAGTTGGTTTACACAGGTTAAGCACTTGAGTATCCTTATGTTTCTACTTTACATTCTGACATATAGGACAAATTATAATGCATTTAAATGTTAAGTCTCTACTCCGAAGTTCGTTTTTTATTTTTATTTTTTTTTGAGTTGGAGTCTCACTCTGTCGCCCAGGCTGAAGTGCAGTTGGCACACTCCCGGCTGCCACAGCCTTGACCTGCTGGGCTTCAGCAATCCTTCCACCTCAGCCTTCCAAGTAGCCGGAACTACAGGCGCACGCTATCATGCCAGGCTAATTTTTAATTTATTGTAGAGATGAGGTCTCGCCAAGTTGCCCGGACGGGTCTCGAACCTGTGGGCTCAGGCAATCCACTCACCTCGGTCTCCCAAAGCGCTGGTATTACAGGCCCAGCTACCGAGCCTGGCCTCTCCCCCAAAGTTAACATGGGACACATGTAACATGCATGTTTGTTCAGTACACATGCATCAGGACCCCTTCATGGATATTCATAGCTCCTCTTATAACTTGTTGAGCATATATACTTGGCCAACCCATTAAATAAAAATTCCTGTTTCACTATCCCCTCCCTTGTTTACCAAATTGTAAACAAGACTTAATGTTTTCAAGCTCTGTCAGAGGCTAAGCTCCCAGCCTGTCAGAATGGCCACCTTGCAGGATATAACCCTTTATAAAGAAATAAAGTCTCCTTTCCAAAGTTGTAGATGTTGTAATTTTTTTCAGTTGACACATATAGCGTACATACATCCTTCCATATACTTTAAATCATCTCTAGATTACATATAATACCTAATACTAGGTAAATAGTTGTGGGGTTTTTTTTGCATTTTCTACATTGTACTGTTATTTAAACAATTTTTTCCAAGTACTTTCCATCCTAAGTTAGTTGAATCTGCAAAGAACTTGCAGATATGGAGAGTCAACTGTATTTTTTATTTTTATTTTTATTTTAGAGATGGTTTCTCAGCCATGTTGCCTACCCAGGCTAGAGTGCAGTGGCTGTTCACAGGCATGATCATAGCACATTGAGGCCTTGAACTCCTGGCCTCAAGATTACTCTCCTGTCTCAGTCTACCAAGTAGCTAGAACCATAGGCACATGCCACCATTACTGGCTTGTATTTTTAATTATTGCTCCCTGGAGCCAATTATGCATGTGTTGGTAGAGATGCTAATTTGGAAAAACCAGGATCACAATTATATTCTAATACATAAAATTGGGTTTATGGATATGTTCATTATCTTTATTATGATAATAATTTAGTGGGAATATACATGTGTCAAAACACATCAAAATGTATACTTTATATTGTGCATTTTATTGCATGTCAATAAACTGTTTCTTTAAAAGGGTATTATTTTAGTCCATTTTGTGCTGCTATAACACAATACCAGACTACATAACTTATAACAAATTTATTTTTTACAGTTCTGGATGCTGAGAAGTCCAAGGTCCAGGGATCTGCATCTGGTAAGGACCTTCTAACTCTTTCATAATCCCATGATGGAAGACAGAAGGGCAGGAGAGCATGTGCAAGAGGAGGAGGGAAGGGGCCTGAACTCTTCCTTTATAGACACGCCCTTGATAAAAAACCCACTCCTAAGACAGCAGCAATAATTCTGTTATGAGAGTAGACCCCCTCATGATCTAATCACCACTTAAAGGTCCCACTTCTGAACACTGTTTCACTGGGGACTAAGTTTCCAACAGAGGAACTTCGGGTGACACCTTCAAACCATAGCAAGGACTAAAAAGAACAGTCTAGATTTGGGAACAATAGAAGATTCTGGGATATTGAGGAGCAGCCCAAGGGTAGTGTCTTAGTCTGTTCACACTGCTGTAACAAAATGTTACAAACTGGGTGGCCTATAAGCAATAGAAATTTATTTCTTACAGTTCTAGTGACAGGCATATACAATCAAGGAGCTAGCAAATTTGGTGTCTAGTGAGGGACCATTTTCTGGTTAATGGATGGCCATCTTCTCATTTTATCCTCACTTAGGGAAAGCAGTGGAGGGTCTCTTTTGGGCCTCTTTCATAAAGGCACTTAATCACATTCATGGAGGACTTATAGTTAACCTTCTTAGCCTAATCACCCTCCAAAGGCTCCATCTCCTAATACTATCATCTTGGGCATTAGAATTTCATCATGTAAGTTTTGAGGAGATACAAACATTCAGACCACAGTAGACAGATTTGAAAAGGATGAAGGATAACAGAAAGAACCAGCATATGGTGGCTAAGAATAAAAACTTAGGAATTTTTTGAAAAAAATATTACATTCTGTGCAATAAAAGCAGCTTCCCATACTACATGGCCAGGGAAATCATCAATAAAATTTAAAATGCTTACTGATACTTTTGGTAAGAACAGAGTTGTCTTTAGAGAGCTCAAAGAAAACAATGAAGAGACCAAAGACATTATAAATAACCAAGTGAATGAATAAAATAATAAATAAATACATTCATATCCTAAGAAACACAGGTGGACAATGATCAACTAAGATTACCTTTCTTTGCATATTTTGGGGAGTAAATGATGTCTTCTCATGATAGCATTCTCCTGCTTAGTAGGATTTAAAGGAAATGAATGAGATGCCAATCTTTTCTCAGCTTAGATAATTCATCTTATAAAATTAATTTCTGAAGTTAAAAGTAAAACTGTTAAAATAATTAAAGGCCAGGCACAGTGGCTCACACTTGTAATCCCAGCATTTTGGAAGACCACAGAGGAAGGATTACTTGAGGCCAGGAGTATAAGGCCAGCCTGGGCAAAATAGGAGACTCTGTCTCTATAAAAAAAATTTTAAAATTAGCCAGGCATGGTGATACGCTCCTGAAGTTCCAGCTACTCAGGAGGCTGAGGCCGGAGGACTGCTTGAACCCAGGAGGTCAAGGCTGCAGTGAGCTATGATCATTCCACTTCACTCCAGCCTGGGTGAAAGAGTGAGACCCTATCTCTAAATAAATAGAATAAAACCTTTAATCAAGAATGTATATAAAACATGAAATAAATAAACTTTGGTTTTCTAAGGGAGAGATTAGACTAAGTCTATGTCATCAGAATTTTGTTATTTAAATATGAGCTTAGCTGGGCTTGGTGGCTCAGCCTGTAATCCCGTGCCTTGGGAGGCTGAGGTGAGTGGATTGCCTGAGCCTGCGGGTTCAAGACCTGCCTGGACAACTTGGCGAGACTTCATCTCTACAATAAAATCAAAAATTAGCTGGGCGTGGTAGCACACGCCTGTAGTTCCAGCTACTTGGAAGGCTGAGGAGGAAGGATCACCGGAGTCCAGCAGGTCGAGGCTGCGGTCACCGGGAGCGGCCACTGCACTCCAGACTGGGCGACAGAGTGAGACTCCAATTCAAAAAAAAAAAAAAAAAATTAAAACTATAAATAAATAAATATGAGCTTTATTGAGATATAATTCACATCTCATAAAATTCAGCCTTTTAAACAGTTCAGTGATTTTTTTTTTTTAGTTTACAATGTTTTGCAGTTATTGCTATTTCATTTCAGAATATTTTCATCAATTGACAAAGAAATCCTAGCCGGGCTCGGTGGCTCAGCCTGTAATCCCGCGCCTTTGGGAGGCTGAGGTGAGTGGACTGGCTGAGCCCGCGGGTTCAGACCA